CTTTCAAGATGTTAGAACAGTCAGATAATAATAATAATAATAATAATAATAATAATAATAATAATAATAATAATAATAATAATAATAATGGCTTTGGGAACTCAGGAAGCACATTGTAGCCAGAAAAGTGCAGCGATACAAGGGAAAGAAAAATAAATATCTGGGAGCAACTGTCCATATGTTCTATGACTTACTTCTTGCTCAAGCACATAATACAAAACTTAAAATACTACTGGATTTAACCAGATGAACCAAAATGCTCAAAATTGAAAATGTAAAAAAGATCTATTATAAAAAAATCATAGCAAATTTTTAAACACTAGTTTTTGATTGAAAGTTTAATATGAGTCTGAAGAAATAACTCAAGTGTTGAGAGCAGCCACTGCTCTTGTGGGGGACGCAGGTTCCCTACATAGCAACTATATGGTAACCCAGAAACTCCACGGCTCAGGAGATGAAATGCTTCCTTCTGATGTCTAGGGGTAGCAGGCCCTCATATGGTACACATACATACGTGATAGCAAACACTCATAATAATAATAAGTAAACATTGTAGGTGTCTCTAAGGGGAAATCATCATCATTTTCACATCCTAACATAATTAGCAATCAGTAGTTAGGATTTTAAGGCACCGAATAACTGATTTTTTAGAATGAAAATCAGCCCGAGGTTTCCTAACACATTAGTTATTACCGTTGACAGAATCGTGAACCCAGATGACAGAAACTATGGTCACACACCTTCAAATATGAATTCCAGTTTGGATACACTGCATCTAGGAGCAGAGTCACTTCAAGATGCTCAACAAAGTCAGATAAGGGACAAGAGTAGCATATTCTCTGACTGTCATCCTGCCATCTATAATCACCTTTTTGTAGTTTGGTAGCATGGCTCCATTTCTCTTTTCTTCTTTCTCTTCCCTCCCTCTTTCCTCCCGTCTTTCTTTCTCCCCTCAATACTTCCCTCTCCCACACATCCTCTCCTCAAATTGATGGTATTACATGTGATTGCTTTTATTAAAGATTTGACTAATATGTCACTTCAAGGTTAATATACAACAAGGTCTTATCGTAACATGCTCTTTATCCTATAAAACACATCCATATATAATCACAGATTTCTGTTCTCAAGGCAAGCAGTGACATCTCATAGATTCCATTTACTACATAGTAACTATTTAACTTGTTCTTAGACACAGGTGTTACAAGGAATTTCTACTGAGATGCAATACTGAAAATTTAAATTGTAGTTGGTTAGACTGACATTGATTGATGAGTTACTTGCATGGATTATTCCTCTTTCGTGAAGTCACTTCATTATTTGAAGAAATGGGTAACTCGAATTGAGATGGAGAGAAATTAGATGCAGTTTGCCACTAAATTATTGTCCGAGGGGATCAGTAGAGGCTATTAAACACATCTTGGAAATGATGAGCAGTTAAAACCATTAAGTTTCTTGACTGACATACTAAAAATGTAATGAAATGGAAGGCTGAATCTGTTAACTGTATTGACTTCACATCTAATACAGGTTTTTGAACATCTGTGAGGATCCCCTTTAGGGTTTCTCTTCTTTGCAGCTCATATGCACCTATCACACAGGTTCTACCACAATAATTACATTTCAACATCTTTTCTAAATAAGCACCTTAATATAAATAAAATTCTTTATATGTATACTTATTCATGTATATATAAATATACATCTACACTTCACAAGAAACAATGTATTATCCACATATATAAATAGAGCTATAGTTTAAAAGGAAAATTGCTATGGAATTTTTGAATCTGAATTTATAGCACTTTTATGACTAATAAGCATTGTAAAATTAACTGGATCTCAGTGTCTTGACACTAGGGAAAGCGATATTTAGAAAAACATCTTAAAGGTAGTGTTTTAATCTCAATCAGAGTTTTGGAATTTTATTGAAAACTATGTTTAATTGGTTTTAATCTTTGATATACCAGTATACTCAAATATATAGGACTGTGATGTTTGAATTTTAATTTATGAGATTATCAGTTATATTCTTCCCATGATATAAACCCATCAATTATATTTTAAGACAAAAGACAACTTAGTATTGAGACATCACCAGAGCACAGCAAATGGTCTCCGTTGTCTAGCAATGGGTCAAACACTGAAGCACGTGTTCTGAATGGTGTCCGGCACTTCTGTTGTCTATTATATCTTCTTGGAATTCTTCTGAAAGTCTATACCAATATTCAATAACCATTAGCAACATAGACCAATACAACAAATGAATAAATGATTAGGGCTGGCACTATTCACGGCAACTAGGTCCAAATGAGGGTAGTAGTGACCTCGTATTCCTTAATCAACAGTATTTAAGACACAGAACTCACATGCACTCGTAGACACATACTCCAACCTTATCCTCGCCCTGTTTCTAAAGTTATCAGCAATCACTTGTGTTAACTAATCACGTGTATTCTCTAATCAATAATGACTATGTGACATGATACACTTTAAAGGTTATTCACTAATGGTAGGATTGGTAATTTTACCTGAGGATGTTCCTGGGACACAATTTTCTAAAACAATTCCTGTGTAGCAAGCTTTGTGCAGAACCTGTGGACATGATAGTTGTTTCCGTTATTAGAGAATCTAGAGAGCATTTGGGGTACTTTCACAGGAAACCATATGATCCCAAGTAGCAGCACTTAAGGTCATATAGAAGAATAGACTCATTTCATTCTCAGGGGTTCACCATACCATCATGAACTGTATATAACTCTACAGTATGATTCTCTATGATACCTGTGTGAAATGGCGATGAATTTGGCATAGCTCATCTTCTTGGTTCCCAAGCCTCAATGATTCTTTTGGTTTTCTATAAACTAAATGGATTCACTGATTGCTTGCAATGAGTGATATATGGGTATGCACCTCCCCTCTCATTTCTCTGCACAACCTCTGTCCTGTTCGAAAGACGTTGCAGTTTCCTTTTCCCAATTCTCACGTGCTCTACTCTGGACAAGAGGAGTAATTCATAACGTTTCAAGCCACACTTAGAATCCCAGGATATGTGTAGCACTCACTTTTAATACTTTGATTTTCTGCAAAGTTGTCACCTAACACCTAATGGATCTGGTGAAATGCAAGTTCACTTTTTAAAAAACATCAACTGACTAAAACATTAACGTAATTGGATTATTTCTTTCCAACACTTTTTTTGTGAGACAACAGAGCAGAAACCAATCATTTGCTCTTCCATTCTAGTACACACATGGGAGTCTCCAGGGTTCCTAGATTTAATTTGTCCTGGGAAAATGAAACCCAGTTCTTAAAAATCTGTCTTAAAATCTTCAGTACTGACTATTTCACATACATCGCAACCAAATCACTAGTATTCCCATGTTTGGCTCCTGTCTTTTCTTTTTCTCATTTGAAGAATAACATATTGTAACTCAGAAAGGAGCATTCTTTAAATATTTCTGTTGTTCATATAAATACTTAAGTACTCACAAATCATATATAAGTTTTGTTTATATTACTATTCTTTAAAAGACTGATCTATGACAAAGAGTTGGGCATCGGTGTACATGTTTTGTTATATTTCTTGATGTTTTCTCCCATGATTTCCTTAAAATGCAATTCTATTTATATTACTATAAACTGTGACACAATTGATAACTTCTGATTGACAGCATTCTCTTAAGTTGTGTGTACAGAGTAGAACACTGTCATAGAAAAATGCTCACTATACTGAAACACCTCTAAAAAGACCACAATAAAAATGTGTGCTGTACATGCATGTGTAAACATGCATATAAATATCATGAGTAAATATGTATATATGTATGCTTAAGGCAGATTTTTTTCATTTTTATTTTTTAATTTATTTAGTTATTAAAGATTTCTGTCTCTTCCCCTACCACGGCCTCCATTTCCCTCCCCCTCCCCCAGTCAAGTCCCCCTCCCTCGTCAGCCCAAAGAGCAATCAGGGTTCCTTAAGGCAGATTTTTTTTATCACTCTTCACCAAAAGAACGAAGAGGTGTTGACACCCAAGCAGCAATGAAAACACTTCATATTAAAAACTTTGTTGTCAATACCACAGTTACTTATTTAAAAGAACCATAAGGATGTAGAACACAGTATGGTTTTAAAATGGTGACTAAATCACGAAAATCCAGGACAATGTTATGTCAGAAAAAAAGGAAGTTTCAAATAAATGAACGGATGGGTTACAAGGACAGATGACATAACACAAAGACAATCTTTACAGTAACCTCTGGAAAAATTGGAACCCCAAATCAATTGAGGACAATAGTGAATCACAGATCATAAAATGTAGGACTCTACTTGACTGTCAAAATGTTAAATGCAAAACCAGAGAGAAATATTGGCCTTTACTACAGAAAAATCTGAAAATCTCTAACTCTATAAACACAACTGAACAGAAGTGTTTTAATTAAGAAAAATGGTTGTGTGTATCTAAGTTTATTAGTAAACAAATGATTTGTTTGTGATTAAGTAATAGTAATGAGAGAAAATCAAAAAGGTAATTTGAAAATGAAATCGTTTACAAAAAGTTAAAGGATCTACAATCAAATACATTGATAAACTGTTGACCCAATGACAATGTAATGAATTGTGTTTAGGTGTGTTGTTTATTTAAATAAAAATAATAATCAAAGATGCTATTCTATTTTCCTTTTCCTCCTGTAGATACTATCAATACACATCCAAAAGCCTACTAGTAGAATGGAAACATTCCTAGTTAAAGGTTTAGATTAAGAGTTTTACTTCTTTCTGTCATTAATTAAAATATAAAATGAGCAATTCAATTTATTTAACCTTTCCCTTGAAACAAAATTAAGTGATTACAAAAGTTTCTTTACTGTACTTTCTTATTATACTTTAACATTATTATCCCATAGGACTCTAGAAGCAGTGGATATTCCTTTATTTATTTATTTATTTATTTATTTAGCTACACAGAATACATATTTGTTTGTTTGGAGGAAGCAACATGTCTTATCTGCATGAATTTCTTTTGTATGCAGTGCAAGTTCCAGGGCCTGTAGAAAACCTGCATGCTGTATCTACCTCACCTACCTCAATTCTTATTACATGGGAACCCCCTGCCTATGCAAATGGTCCAGTCCAAGGCTATAGATTGTTCTGCACTGAGGTGTCCACAGGGAAAGAACAGGTGAGTAATGAAAGGTGTTGCATGCCTTCCATCCTCTGGATGTCTCTAGGCACAAAGACAGGGGGACCTTGCCAGAGCAGGAAGGAGTTCATTACTTAGCATGATCGTTGAATAACTGGTTGGTTCTAAGGACTTTCGCTGGAAAATTTTAAACTATTTCATCTCACTGTGATGGTGAGAGAGGTAAAAGACAATAGGGTGGAGTTCATAATGAGAGTGCTAGTTTGGACTTTGACTGTAGTAGCTTGGTCCAGGATGGGTTGCTATATCCTGTGCCCAGAGATATTCCTTTACATTACTCAACTTAAGAACGATTTGCTTTGTGCTTAGTGGCCTAGTCCAAACTGTTCTTTCTACTCTTAGATAGTTTAGGCTATTCTGTCTTTTTACCCTCATGCTGTGGCCAGCTGTTTTCTGAACTTAGTCTTAGAAGCTTACTCTCCTTAACCTTGATTGATTCTTATACTTAAAACAATGGTTTTAATAGAAATCTAAAATGAGAGGAATGAGTTTTTCAAGTAGAGTACCAGTGAATTAGTGTGCGGATGAACAAGTAAAATGTAAAACATTTAATGATGTATGTGTATAGTCATATGCACAACTATTAAGCTTGATCCAGATTATCACCTATGTGTGGAAAAGATATAAATACATATACAGAGAAACGTTAAGAATGAGAGAAAGTGATCTTAGGTTATTGTTTATAGAGGTTACCAAGCATCGAATAGTTTTCATGATTCCGTGTAAAATGTCTGATGAGGACTTGCCATTGGAAACAAGTTTGCCAGAGATTTAATTAGAAATATTTCAGGTCTACTTCTTAGCTGTCTTTTAGGACAGTATTGGCTGGCTGAACTGCTCTTATGTAATCAGAAATTTTGCTTTATTTCCTTGGCTGTTCCCATGCCACTCTTAGCTCTGACTTTTAAACTGTATCCCCTATTCAATTTTATACAAGCCTCTCTCCAGCTTGTTTCAAAATATTCAAGAGGCATATTGCCCACTGTTGATAGTGGTAGTCTGGCAGTCATCATGTAAAGCTAAACAACAGCTCCTTTGGTGAGCGCAGGCTCTGATTTCTGTAAGGACCTTAGCCTTCCATAGCTCACCACTGCTGGTGTGAAGTAGAGGGTAGTTACAATCTCCACCACAGCACTTGGGGACACAAAACCTGTGCCAGAGTATCAGAGAGTTCGGTATCTGTGGGTCTATCACATCAAGAAAATGACAATCTGTGATTTCTTGGTGAATTATTTAGTTTGAGGCACAGGAAAGAATCTGTGTCCTTTCAATTGGAATGGAATAACCCATACTATTCCGTGTTCTGGGCAGCGTTAAACAGATCGAAACTTAATGACTATAAAAATCACATGGTGATGTTTTAACACGTAGTCTTCACAGTAGTTCAGACTTTAGTAGGGGAGTGTGTGACACAAGGATGGGTTTACAGCAATTCATTAAAGGGATAGAGTTGCTTCCGTGAGCAAGTACCTAACATCCAAGTCACTGATTGCACAGAATGGCTGCCATTTCTGCTTTAATGTGCTGCCTTAATAATTATTCCGGTATTTTATGTCTCCAGAATATAGAGGTTGATGGACTATCTTATAAACTGGAAGGCCTGAAAAAATTCACCGAATATACTCTCCGGTTCTTAGCTTATAACCGTTATGGGCCAGGAGTATCTACCGACGATGTAACAGTGGTTACACTTTCAGATGGTAAGTGATAAACAGAAAAATTTTACTCATATATCTGTTATGAAATGAAAAGAATGTTGATTACATGTTATTGATTTTGTTGTGTAGTTTTTTTCTAATATCTTTTGCAATGTTTTATACTAATTAAGAAATGTAGGCAACTTGTTTGTGGTACTGCAGTCAAATTTAAATTTACTATTTATATACAGTGAATCAGGATGGATTAGTGGATAATTTTCAAACTGTGGTTACTGTGTAAGAGCTCAAATTCTTCTGGTGATTGTATTTTTTCTTTTCTATATATGGTTCAACTCAAACGCATTTGTTATATGAGTGAACTGATATAGAAGGTATGTAGCTTTCCTTTATCATTTAAATGGTGCAAATGACTAAAAGTATAAATTATGAAATATATCAAATAACTGGAAAGTATATCAAAGGATTTTACTAAATAAAATGCACTTAAAATATTAGAAGCAAACATGAATGTGCACACCTTCATTTTATCTTGCCTAAAAGAGAAAGCTTAGGCATATTTTTCAAATGAAATGAAAGGGAGGAAGGATTCCTAATGATGATAATGGGTTTAACCAAATAGTGCCAGAGGAAACTGGAGACCAAAGGAATAGATGATAACAAAAGCCTGGGAAATTAAATATATGTTACAGGCTAGTGTATGGATTGTAATAGGACTATGGAGATTCAGGCAGGGGTGGAACTGCAGAGATGGCTCCCATGAACACTAAAGCATATCAAGAGCCAGCTTTAGTTAGCCTGGATTTCCTGCTAGTATGTTTCATTCTATAAATTATTGATATTTTGATTAAAAAATACCTTCAATTTGATTCTTGATCTGAAATACTTTAATCTGGGAAAGTAGATTCTTCACAGAATATTAACAGCATAAAGAAAGACATGGATTTTTTAAGGATAACGGAAAGAGTGATGCTCATTTGCAATTTCCCTCAAAAGGGTGTTCTACTCTTAGGCCACTTCAGTATTAATTTTAATGCAATTCTTCTGCCCAACCGTCTGATTCTGTTATTCAAGAGAGAACAGAATATGCACTGGCTGAATAAATTACTTCATAGCTTATAATTATAAAAATAAAAGAAAAACAAATGAAAATGAATATTTTACATAATTTATGTAGATTCCATTCACACTCTGAACTGTAATAGTGTGGCCTTACTCTCCACTTTGATTTTAAATGTCATAAGTGAGAAAGATAGACTGTGACTCATTAGTTCACGAATTATCTCCTGGAAAGGCTGCAGTGCCCAGGAAAATGTCTGTCACTTAAAAATGAGCTCCATAATCATAGTCCCGAGTAAATATCATTGTTGGAGGAACACTAAATATTCTTTATCAGATGCACTTGATGAGAAAAATGAGGGACTCTGAGAGACTTCTGTGTAGGTACCCTGACTTCTTCTATAACCACATTAATAATCAACTCCATTTTTTCTAATTTTTACAAAAACATGTGCTCTTGGCCTCTACCCTGACATTGCCCAGTATCTTCTGTCTACTTCATCTAGTGTTTTCTCTTCTTTGTTGAAGCTATTCAGGTAATGTTATTATGTACCACATTTAGACGGACTGAGTTATGTGGAATGCTCTCTCTCTTGTTTACAGTTTCTCAGTCACACTGTACCAGTCTACTTTGATATTTTGCATTATAAATAAAAATTAAATAGGCTAGCCTATGCCCACACTAACATAATGAATGACACACATATTAGTGTTTAATATTTGCTCTTTATGTCAATATCTGTTTCTGGTTTTGGATTCCATTGCACAGGTAGGATAATGTTATGTCTATGTATGTTTCTACCAGCTTGGGAGATGTGTTGCATTAATTACACAGTTTCACCCAAAACTTTACAAAGATTTTATAGAAAAGTAAATTGTAGGATTTCTAATATGCATTTGAAGATATCACATCTCACACAAACAAACTCCTGACCAAATAAAAAAATATAACACACTCTGACTTTCTTCCAAAATCTCATCATTGGCAGTTGCTACAGATTCAAACCATAACTGAGATAATTTCCAAAAATCTGTTTTTAAAATAAAAAACATTTCTGAAGGTTTTTAAATGATGTGAGGTAGAACAATGTTATTCTTTAATTTTCATCAAGGATAAAAGTTAAAATGCAACTGCTACCATAAATGTTAGTTACATTCTGAAAAATTAAGTACAACTAAATTGATACATAAAAATTTCAAACAGTACTTCAATTTAAACTCTGGAAATGAAAAATTTGTATCTAAAATTCTGGTTTTAAAATAGCTATTATTATACCTTTGTAACATTTCTATAAAATAATGTGCTATTTCAACTTCTGCTCCCTGGTTATGCACATAAACCTAACATTACCCTCGGTATTGATGATATAACATTAACATTTGTAAAACATTTGGCCATGTGAAAATTTTATTTTTTGCTCAGTTAAAGCTGTAGTATTAACTAAAACATCTGAGGTGTTCCTTAAATAATGAAATATTAGTAAAGATTGCTTAGTGACTTAATTCATAAGCACATGCCTCTTGCTTTGTATCACAGAATACATTGGCTACAATCTTTATCAAGCACTGCAAAATTCAAATCAAAGGAAAACAAATTATTGCAATTTCCATCATGCTAATAAAGATCTAGGAACCAATCCTTAAGTAGGCCTTTATTTTTCATCTAGTCACTGATTCAATCCATATTAATTGGTTGTCAGTTGAAGAAGACAGAAATTAATCAGAGAGACAGCATGCCCTCCCTAGTAGGGAAGAATTTTAAGACGAAATTCAGAGTCAGTTGCTGATCCTAGGTTACAAACTACAAATACCATTCACTTTCCATGAAAAGAAGAGGAAGCAGGGCCGAAGAATGGCCCAGGGATGTGAAAATACACATTAGTCCATCCCCATCTCACTCACCAGTGTGTCACAAATAAAAATGAGGATGTGTCATTTAATAAATGAATGATGCTAAAAAGTTATTGAATACCATTTCTGAACCTAGGGTGTGTTAGGAGTTTTATTTATTTGCAGTTCAACCTTGACAGCAAGGCCATTTCTGGAGACATAACAGCTATGCACTCAATGGTTGTCTTCAAATTGCTCACACGGCAGGAGACTTACATAGAGCACATCTTCACGACAGCTATCAAAAGGGAGCTGAATATACTCTTTTTAACATGATGATTTAAGAAATTTTAAATCGAGGGAAACATAATAAAATAACTAGAAAATGCCCAATGAGAACTTAACTGGTCTTTTGTTAATAGAATTTATGGGCCAAATACTATTGGAGAACCTGCTTGCTTCTATGTTATACAACTTTAATTATTAATAGCTTAGAACATGAGTCACTTCTTTTGTTCACTCTCTAGAAGACAATAACGACTGCATTATAGGGATTAAGCCACCTAGGTGTCTATTACAACGATCTATTCCACCATAAAATCATGCAGATCCTGAAAAGCACAGTATGATAATCCTTAAAGACCACTCTAGAAAATCACTGCGGTGCCTCCCGAGGTTCCGCCAGGGAGGTCATCACAGAGCTGTAATTGGATGTCAGTGTTTGCTACCGCAGCTGGTGCTCCACAGAGGGCTAGCCAAGGGACCCACCCCAGGAGACACAAATAAACAAATGTTTATTTCTCCTCTCTCCAGGAAAGTTGAGAAGGGCCACCTGCTGGCATTATCTTACTGAGTTCTCATTATAGAATTTGATAAGGATACACTTTCTCTTTTCTTCAGCTGGCTGGAATTTTTTTCAAGACTTTGGCAGTAACCTTCATACCTTGTTTGATTCCTTTCAGTGCCCGGCGCTCCACCGCAGAACATCTCACTGGAAGTGGTTAATTCAAGGGTAAGTCAGCCCAAGTCTATTTCTTTATTACCTAGTATGCGCATATTCTGCTCATCACTCTGCCAAGTAGAATGTTGGCCGGTATAAAGGTAATGCAATGGAACAGCTAGTGAGTGGTATTTGGTTATACAAGCTCTTTAACCAGACTAAGATACACTGAGTTAAGAACTATTGTTTTTGTATAAGCACTTTTGATTTAGTAGGTATTAGAGTACTTAAGGCTCTTCTAACAAGAAGTAAGACTATATCTCTTATCTATATTTACTACTGCAGAAATAAAACTAATATTTGACAATACTATTTTAATTCAGATAAAATTAAAATAACATTTAGTTCAGTAATCTTTATAAATTTAATTTTTAACTGAAAATTCATACAATATATTCTGATCAGTGTTTCCGCTCCCACCATCTCCTCCCACATACTTCCCACCTGTTCTACTCTCTGCTTTCTCTTTTCTTTCTTTAGAAAACAAAGAGGCAGATAAATCAAACAGACAAACAAACTAGAATTAAATAAATAAACAAAACATTGAAGAACTACAAGATGAATGCAGATAGAAACATATACACACAAAAATAGAATTGAAACAAGGAAAAATTGGGGACCATAATATACAAACAAAAGAACAGTAGGGACAAAAGGTGCCCAACAAAACAGTATGTGACAAAGAAAATCTGCAGAAACCCAATTGGGCTCGTTTGCTTCAATCATGAACTTCTGGGTGTGAGCTTCACCCACAGTGTGATTTATGTACCTAATGAGATTCCTGTGGAGAAAACTAATATTTTTTTTATAAATAGCTGTTAATTGGAGGTAGCTTCATATTTGGGATTGGAGTTGAAGTTTACTTCCAGTCTCAGAGTTGAGACCCATCCTGGTTTGGATGTGTGCAGGCTCTGGGCACGGTGCCACAGCCTTTGTGAGTTAATTTGTCTGTCAATACTGTTGTGTCTGGAATACACTGTCTCCTTGGTATTTGTCTATCCCTTCTGGATCTTACACTCTTTTTTTCATTGATGTTTATTGAGCTCTACATTTTTTTCTCCTCCCCTCCCTTCTTCTCCTCTCACATTCAACCCTCTCCCAAGGTCCCCATGCTCCCAATTTATTCAGGAGATCTTGTCTTTTTCTACTATCCATGTAGATTAGATGGAGCTTACACTCTTTATATCTCTGCTTCTTAATAGCTCATTTAGGCCTTTGGGGAAGGCTTTGATGAAGACATCCCATTTAGGACTGTGTGGTCCAAGGTCTCTCAGTTTCTATACATTGTCCATTTGTAAGTATTTATACTAGTTCTCATTTCCTGCAGGAGAATGCTTCTCTGATGATGGCTGAGTGAGAGAGACTGACTTATAGGTATAGCAGAATATCATTAGTAGTCATTTTGTGACTATGTTCCTTGAGCAGAATAATAGAATTTGGTTTTATCCTATGTACATTACATATCTAGTTTCAGGTTCTGGGACCTACGATTAACATCAAGGATGGGTGTCATCTCATGGCGTGAGCCTTAAGTTCAGTCAAGTAGTGACTGGTTACTCCCACAGCATTTATGACATTGGTGGAGTGGTGTTTCATTCAGGCAACTCACCACTATAGATCCAAGATTTGAAGCAGACTTGGTGTTTATCTTTTTCCTCTGGTAACCATGCAGAAGGTATTCCAGTGCCATGAAACACTAGCCAATGGAGGGGAGAGGGCTCTTAGGTAGGACCAGCTCAACTTCGCCATGTTCAGTGAGATATACTGGTGTTTTCTTCAGCAATGGGGACTTACCCTTAGTTTCTGGAGATAACCCAATAGTTTTGGCGATGGTCTTAGTTGATGGGAGATCCATACAATGTCTTCTGTCAATAACGCAATCATAATATAACCCATTCCTGGCACTGACATTTTCACTGTGGCTTTGTCTCCATCGTTAATGGGTGATTTCATTCACATTTACTCCACATATGTGTCTGCTTTTAGAAGCTTCTGTAGTACTAGTTTTTCATGTGATTCCCTCAAAAGACCCTCAGCATTATCTGTTCTTCCTTAATTCCCTCCCCTAATTCCTTTTTTCTCATATTTTCTATTTAATTCTCCTATTTCAGGCTTCCAATTTCTCTCTAATTATATATTCTATTTCCCCTTTCTTGGGTTATCCTACACTCTCTCTTAGGTATTTACTCCACACCTAACCTCTGTGCTTATTCAGGTTTTAGCATGCCTAGCAAAGGCTTAAAAGTTAAAACCCACATATAAAAAAAATTGGTACCATATTTTACTTCTATGTTACTCCTCATAGGATGTTTTGTTTTGCTTGATATTGTTTTTTTTTGTTTTTTTCCTAGTTTATTCCATTTTCTGAGAATTTTATGATTTTTTAAGAGCGGAATAATAAATATTCAATTGTGTAAGTGTGCCACATTTTCTTTATCCATCCACCTATTGGTGAATAGCTTGGCTGTTTCCAATTTCTGGCAGTGATGAATAGAGCAGCCAGAAATGGGACTGAGCACATGACTCTGTAGTAGGCTATAGAGTCCTTTGGATTTGTGCGGAAGACTTGTACAGCTGGGTCTTGACGTAAATCTATTCCCAGCTTACCAATGGACCACCATACTGATTTGTATAGTGACCGGAATACTTTGCACATCTACTAGAAATGGATGAGTGTTACCCTTACTCCACAGTTTGGCCAACATGAGCAAAATGTTTTGTGAAGACGTGCATTGATGAGCAGTGTATCTGTATGATTTATACTCTCCTGACTTCCTCTCCTACTCTCAAGCTTTTCACATGTGCCCTCACAAACTAATAATCTTTCCTTTAATCTAATAATTAGATGAATAACTTTATCACAAAAATAAATTATCACTCTTGAATGTGACTATATGGGTATTTATGTATCCAGGGCTAAGCACTGGAGATGGAAAATCCTATGCAAGGGTTTGTTCACCTTCATAGATTCATGTGCAATTCAACACTTATACATAAAGCTAGGAAAAAATTAGAAGGTATAGAGCTGAAATATTTTAAGAATCAGAGGGATTAGGATACATTTTGTTGGGTAGAATCTCCTAGGCACGACAGAAGAAATATACTAATGAAATTTCAACAATATAATTGCCAGAACAAGAACAGTATGACAACTGTTAATGTTACCATGTGTACAGGAGAAATTACAATGGTCTCACTAGATGAACAACTAGAGGTAGCAATTGCCACTGAGGAAAGCAGAATCAAGGAGTTTTTATACAATTCCTACAGATTTCCTTATGATGTCTATGATAAGGTTTAATGACTTTCAGACATGATTAAATTTCAGTGTCAGTGTGAACTTTTGATTCGTCCAAGCAGGACTCGGAAAAGATTTTATAGGCTATTCTCATTATTTATGTTTCATATGTTAATATATATATTGGGGGCTTTAATATTAATATAGTTTTGCCCTTTCCTGATTTGGATATGTGCACTGCTCTTTAGTATATACGCAGTAATGTATGACTTAGTGCATGTACACAAGGGACTTTGACGACATTAAAATATCTAACAGAATCACTCCCATTAGAGTTTTTGTTTCATTCTCTTATCACCTGTAATTTAAACTTCTTCACACACATCTCTAATGTTCCCATTTCTGGTTGGCTCTGCAGTCAGAGCTTGCGTTAGCCTTTCCGTGAGGTTTAATGAGATTTCCTTCAAGTCATACATTTCTTAAAAGAGGGAGTCTTAATAATAGGCTTAAATTAAATGAACCTAGGTCTAGTGATAAGGTTTCTGATTTTAATTTAGCTCATGGAAGTTGCCCTTATAGTTGGAATGGTTGATTAGTCAAAGAACATGAATAGGTTCAATCCCGCCAGTAGGTGAAGGCACTCTGTGATTTGATTTTGGAGATTACAAAATTTTCACTTACATAAAACATCTACTGGTATAGTATTAAATATGTTTAAGCTATAAAAATGCAAGAAATTTTTCTGTGAGATTTAATACACTGATAAGACTAATTGGAACCAATTTTATTGACTCATTTTTAATGAGCACCTAACAGTGTAAGTCACTAAAGCACTGCAGGTGTCTGTACCTGGCAATGTGCTCTGCAATTCAACTATCATTTTCTTTATGCCTTATAATCCTGGAAGTCTTGTTTATGAAATGAATTATTGGAATATCAACTCTGAGCTTGGATCTTGTTGGCAAAGCTTTTCAGAAAGGCAGTCAAACACCATGACTTCCTAAGGTTGATTTATATTGGATATGTGGAAATAAGATCATACACAATTCAACAATTAACATAAGAGAGGGAAAAGTTCTTTGAAAAGCTTTGGGACACTAACATGTTAGGCAATGGCTTGGAGGATGTAGGAAGAAGTGATGCAAGAGCTAACACATCAGTAGGGGCTAGCTTTGTGCACACTCAGGGTAAAGCCTTGCTAATATAACTAGCTCCAAGTTAAAATGCTTTGAAGACAAAATTCCGCATAAATAACACATGGAGTTGGTCAAATGGGATGAGGAAGTATGAGTGAAAAAGGCGAGGTGGCTTACATTAGCTAGTAGTAGAAAAGTTTTACAGAACTTGGGAACTGTTAACCCTGCCCTGAGCTCATGATGGACATAGATAAATAATGACAATAAAATTATTGCCATGGTAAGGCTATAAAAATGGACAAAGTGTTGAAAGATTCAACAGAGTGAAGGTATATTTTGGGTTGTTTTTCTTCTAGTTGGGTAATAACTAAAAGGGAATAAAATGTTTAAAAGAAATCGTATTGTTTTGATCATGTTGCTGGTTTTGATTACAAACTTGTGAGATACTACAATTTCTAGAAATGAAACAATATAGGGGGAAATTTACCATGCAGATAATAGAATGGAAGAATACCAGCATGCAATCTTATCGGTAGACAAGGTGGCATAAGACCTAGTAAAAAATGGTAAGGTCAATGAATTTTTTAATTACCCCTGGTTTCCAAAGTTCCCTGAAGCTTATAAAAGCTTATATATAC